GCTCCAACAGCTCCTGCACGGGAGCCAGGCTGCCAGCAAGGGGTTGCCTTCTTTTTTGTCGGTGTTTTGTTCCTCTTGGGCTTTGTTTTCCTTGAAAATCACGGGCAGGATTGCAGTGGGACCCAGGAACAGCACTATCTGCACCTTGAAATTAAATAGTGACATTTAGATATGCAGCTGAACTTCAGACAGTGGCTGATAGCCAGTGCAGGCAGCCCAAACCAGGAGTGAGTCAGTGCAGAGAGGAGGGCAGGTTGGCAGATGACTCATTATATTAGAAATTAAAGGCTGTTCACATACTGGACACAGAGGTAGCTTGTTTACTGTGTTCAGAAAAAGTAAGGCTCAGGAAGCTGGAAACTGGGGAGAGGACAAGGGGGAAGGGATGAAAACTGGAAGAGGGAGATTGAGGTGAGACATGAGGAGGGAATTGTGGAGTGTGAGGGTGGTGAGAGCCTGGCCCAGGTTGCCCAGGGAAGCTGTGGCTGCCCCATCCCTGGCAGTGTTGAAGGGCAGGTTGGATGGGGCTTGGAGCAGCCTGGGCTGGTGGGAGGTGTCCCTGCCCATGCAGGGGGGTGGATCTGGATGATCTTGAAGGTCCCTTCCAACCCAAACCATTCCATGATGAATTCCAACATCATTCTTTGAAGCCAGTTTAAGTCCATTAGAGATCAAGCACTGCTTCTCCTGTAAGTGTTTAAAATAGAACTGGGAAGAGAGCAGAGATGCTCAGACATGTGCTTCCCATTCACAACAGCAGCACTGGTTAAATATACAACACTTGCATCTGCACAGCCCAGCTAAGGTTTGAAAATCACACATTTCCAAGGAAGCCCCTTCCCTTTCCACTGTGTTCTCCCCCTTCGGTGTGTCAGTACAAACTGATCCAGCTTTAAAACAACCAAGACTCCTGACACTGCACACAAGTGTGCAATTGCACAACTCCTCTAAAAATGTGTGTTCCTCATCAGGCTTCTGGATGTCATCAGCTGAGGAGGGAGCCAGTACCAGGGTTTCCTCATGAATCAGGGATAGACAGAAGGACACACCTATGAGACCACTGTGTTGTCACCCTGTTTTGTTTTAAATCCCATCTCATTATGGTGCAATTTTTACTCCCAGATTTCAGCAGATTGCTGGTGTGGGGAGACCTGTGCACAAAACAGCTCCAGGGAATGAAGGCTGAAGGGCTGCAAGAGAAACCCAACAGTTCTCTTTTAATAACCCTGAATTCCACCTACTCTTCCCTGACCTGAGATTCCTGTTAGGTGGTTCAAAACGTTTATCTGCCAAGATCTAAACAGCTCTGAGCTGTTCAAGGTTTCAATGTTATCTCACGCCCAGCTCAGGAGATGAACTGAAAGGTGGAACAGAAGGAAGGTCATGGAGGGAGGTGTGGGAGAGCAGTGTCTCCAGAGGTTTATGTCTCTGCTGTGTCTGCACTGGCTCTATTTACCATATTAGCTTGAAGCATCTACATCCTCAGCCAAAATACCCCAGGTGAAATGGCTGCGTGGAACTCAAAGCTTCAATATGCCCAAGGTCTCTCCTATTTCACTCTGTGTCCCGTAATTTAGGCTGAAAAAAATACCCAGGAAAAAGATCAGCTTCCCCCACTTTCTACACAAATATGCACGTAGTCCTTGGTAGCTTGAAAATGGTATTTTTGAGACTGTATTTTCATCCTTGGATGCAGCTTGACAGCCTGTAACACATCACAGCACAGAAGATGGAGCCTTGCTACAAGTTCAGTTGAGCTGCAGCACTTCAGCTGCAGCACATTTATTTATAAAACAACCAACAACAACCAAAAAAAAATAATAATTATGAAAACATTGATTCAAAGGAATCAATAATAAATATTTGCTTTCCTCTGAGTTGTTCAGACACAGTACAAGTACACCAATGATAGCAGGTAGAAGAGATGTAAGCTTAGTTTAGCTGCAGAGAAACAAAAGAAAGCTACATAACATTGTATGCATTTAATCACACTAGTAATAACTGGTATATGACAGTAAATGCTTTAAGTACACTATTTTACAAAATAGAGTTTGGCTTATGGTTCATTTGCTTCCCTTATGCAACTCCTGATAGTCTAACCCAGAGCTCAGGAAGTGTCCCTTTGGAAATGATCTGTTTTCCTTGGAGTGCTGAACTTCTCCCTTGGGGCTTCATGCTAGTGCCTGGAAGTGCAGAAGCTGAGTGTGTGTGTTCAGCTGTGGGATCACTGAGGTGTGGCCTGAGAAGCACCACAGCGTTTCAGCCCTGGTGATTCTCCATCACCAGGGGGTGTCCACGCTTTCTAACCAGGGCCACACATCTTTGTGCCTCCTCAGGAGGGGACCACAGTGCTTGTTCTGGCACAGTTTGCACGCAGGGCAGTCTGCACCTGCCTGGGCAGCAGACATGGGAATGGGCAGGATTTCCCACACACCCCCAGGCTTCAGCAACTGCTTCTAACTTCTTCTCCCCCAAGGTCCACAAACCTTTTATCATACAACAGCTCATTCAACAAGGGGTGGCTTCTCATCTCCATCAGGTTTGGAGACCAGGAGTGGGCTGCTAGGAATGATCTGTCCTGCAGCCTATTCCCAAAGGCCTCCAGGGAAGAGGCTGCCAGGAGCAGGCTGGGCAAATTCTCCTGGCCAGCAGCAAGTGGCCTCCAGGCTGTAGACAGAGCATCCTCCTCCCTGCTAATTGCCAGTCTGGCCTGTGACTCAAAGCTAACCTGCAGTGTGTAGATCCCGGCCAGCTCAGCTCTTGGAATGGGTACCTTTGTTTTGTGGCAATCAGCTTCTGGTTGCTCAGGCATGTGTTCTTGCCTGGGAAAATCATTCCTGGTTGTGTGTGCACACAGTGAGTGTCCTCAGGTGCAACACAGGTGACATTAAGCAACTGTGGAAGCAGCCACAAACTGCTCATGCTCCTCAGGACTTTCTAGCTCTGGAGAGCCTTGAGAGTGCTTAGGAGAGCCTGAGCCTTCAGGGCCCAAGAAAAAAAGCCACTGCAGAAGAATCACAGACACTTAGAGCAGTGTCAGCCACTAAAACATCCACCAAAACACAGCTTGATGCAGGAACAGGCCTCTGGAGTATTCAGGGAAACCCTCTAGGCAGAATGACACAGTATCCAACACCAGGAGCTGTCACCAACGCAGCAGCTCTTCAAGCACCTAATTCCAGATGTCCCCTTTGTTTAAATCTGTGCCTCAGGACTGCATTCCCTGCACAACACATCAGAGCTTTCTCCTGCCAGACATGGCTCTGCTGGCTCTGGGGTACAAAAAACAAGGGAAATATTGGGACATGTGACAAAAATGGGTGACAGCTCCTAGGAAGAGCAGTGCTCAGATATTATATGGCAAGTTTGAAAGCTATTTCCCATGAGGAAGCAGCCCAGGTAGGGCTTGGCTTGGTCAGATTGCCTAAGATCTCAAGCAAAGAAGCTGGAATTCTGGGTCTCAGTCAGAAAAGTAGATTAATGACAGTCCCTGGGGTGAAACAATTATAGATTTGTGATTCTTCTGTGCTGGTCCATCTTTTGTAGACTCATTCCACGAAGTGGAAAAAACCTTCCCTCCCTCAAATGAAAAGAAAAACCACCAAAACAAAAACAAACCCACCCTCTTTTTTAAAATAGAAAATTATCAGTCCTGGAATTCTGGAATCTACAACCCACAAGCTCAGTGTCTGTGTGTAGCAGTGGTCAGAGGCAGGACATTATAAGTGACAGGTCTGTCTCCAGAAGAAGCCTGACCCCATCTCTCATCCTTTCCTATTGGCCTTCACCTTGAAGACTTGCTATTCTTTGGAAATGTTTGTGCTGGCTAATGTAATCACAGCAACTATTTGGATGATTCTTGCTATTTTTTTAAGAGTTGTGCTAGGGTTTAAGCCCCAACAACAGCACGTGGCCCAGCGTTTGGTGTAGAGATGGGACAATGCACACCAATCTTTCCCTGTGCTTGTTTACCAGTCCCTGGTGTATTTTTCCATTCCCTCTCACTGTGTCCTTTGGTCTTACCTGGATGCCTGAAGGTCAGCTCAAGGATGCTGTTTATTCAGTCTTGGGAAGAGCTCTCCAGAAGGCTTCTAAAGCAGAGCCCACCTCAAAACTGCTCAATTCACAACCTGAGATTGTTGTGATGTCTTCCAAAAGCTTTGTCCAGGCTTTTTGGTAGAATAGTGGCCCTCAGCTTTTGAGGAACTGCCTTCATTCTGGATTCAGTGCCCAGTTCTCATCACACTAAGGCTCGTTTGCCACAGGTACCACTCCAAGAGAAGCTCCTGCAGCTTTGCAGAGTGAGGCTCCTGGTCATGTTTCTCTGGGTGCATCATGAAGTTTATTCTGGCAATTAAAGCACCTCTGATTCCTTGACATGAAAGGTCCTTTCTCTTCAGTACAGAGGCTGGTCAGACACATGCCTTCATACTGCATCTCTTGACCTTTTTTGAGTAATCCTTTCATTTCCACTTCAGTCACAGCCTTCAAAAGTCTAGAAGACTGAAGGCAGAAAACATGAAGCATCTGTCAGTGCCTCAAAATCTTCACATAAGACAAATGCATCTTTGAGAAAGTTCTCCCACACCAGTACAAGAGACTTTTCCCTTCCCACAAAACCTTTCTGGAATCTTATGTGTCTTTATGTCTCTGTTGATCCCTTTAAAAAAAATATCCTGAGGTTTGGCTTCATTTCATTTGTACAGCACTTAGCTGTTGTCATTTTAAAATGCTCAGTGTTCAAAGAAGATCATTTAAAAAGAAGGCTCCCTTTTCCCTCAGATGGATTTTTCCTTAGGGAAAAATAAAATCATTCTGTATCAGAACCTCAGTGCTGGAAGATGCAAGAAAGAGGTGAGTAGGAGGGCTTCTTGTAGTGTGAATAATCACAAGTGATTAAAATTAAGCTGACCAGGAAGATAAGTAACCTAACAATTCCTATGTGGCTGGTGGTGTGTGAAGTGTTTCTGGGCAGGAGCCTCCAGAAGCCTGGAGAGCAGTCAGACTGTCTGGAAGGCTCGGCTTTGGGCAGGCACCATCACCAGAGTGGCTCCCATTTTCATCAGGTTGGAGTAGTCAACTTTCTTTGGCTCCGTTTCCTTTCCTTCTGCCTGCCTCTGGCTGTACTGGGGAGGAGTGAGATGGGGAGTAGCTTCTGTTGACAAAGTCCGTTGGCTGCGGGAGGCACTGTTGGCTGTTGACCTGGTTGAGGAGGAGCCTGAGCGTGAGCTCCTGGAACCAGAGGAGGAGGAACTGGGCTTGACCAGATGGGCCTTGGGTGCCTCAGCATCTTCTCTGCAATCAAACAGATGATGGGGCTCAAATAGCACAAGAAGAGCAACACACACACAGCTTGTAGCAGATTGAATTGATGCTGCAATAAGCAGCTGCTTATTGAAGCTTCAGGTCACAAGGGTTTGGAGTGAGAGGACAAGGGGGAAGGGATGAAAACTGGGAGAGGGAGATTGAGGTGAGAGATGAGGAGGGAATTGTGGAGTGTGAGGGTGGTGAGAGCCTGGCCCAGGTTGCCCAGGGAAGCTGTGGCTGCCCCATGCCTGGCGGTGTTGAAGGGCAGGTTGGATGGGGCTTGGAGCAGCCTGGGCTGGTGGGAGGTGTCCCTGCCCATGCAGGGGGCTGGATCTAGATGATCTTTAAGGTCCCTTCCAACCCAAACCATTCTATGAAAATTAGATGCAAATGTCCTTCAACACCCCCCCCACACACACACACAAATTAGCATGAAACACAACAAAATATTCTCACACTTGCCATTTCAGCATTTTAAAGCATTTGCATAATCCTCTCCAGTACTAAGTTAAACCCATTTGTTCATTCTGGTTCTGAGAGGCACATGGTGTTTATATTTAATTTTCAACTGCAATTTCTGGTGGGGGAGGCAGGTTCTCACAGTCATTCTTCTTGAGTCTTTTGAACAACTGTGCTTCTGGATTTAGCTCAGGGTGGAAAATCCCCTGAGCTGCTGTGAGCAGAGCTGAGGAGCCCTGTCCTGAGCAGGGGAACCAAGAGAGCTGACGTGTGTGCTCTGAACTCCTCCTCTTTTCCATGAGTGTGAGGTCTGCCACATAACTCCCCTAAGCAGAGATTGGTCTCCAGCCAACAAAGCCTAAACTTCTCAGGAAGGAACTGCTGATAAAAGATCTTTCCAGGAATGAGTTGTAGCTGCTCCTGCTCCTAAAGAAGCCCCTTGCCTTGTCTCCTTATGTCTGTTGGTAAAAGCCTGACTGCCCTCCTGTGACCTGTAGGTACCATTAGGCATCTCCATAATCCAGCCAGCAGCTGGTTGGTCAGCCAGATGATCAGCTTGCCAGCAGGAAGATCACCAGTCTCTGCTGATATCTTCCCTTCTCTATTTCCTGTTCTCTCTGCTTTCAAATCCTGCATGCCTTTTTATTTTTAGTTGGGGTTTCAGCACCTTGTATAACCATTTCACGCATGACTGTTACCTCTTCTCTCTGAGCCCACTTCTTGCACTTCTTTCACTTCTTTTAACCAGAAGAACTGGTCTCAGCTAGTCCTGTCTAGGTGATTTGTCATTATGAGTCAGGATTACAGAGCAGACAGTTCTATCTGAGCTGTTTGCACTGACACTTGGATTTCATTTCACAGCCCTCAGAGCTCCACACAAAGAGCCAGTCGGGTGCAGCCTGGGTTCCAAATCCATTTGAAAAATAGCTCCATGGAGCATTAGGGAGCTCAGTCCACACTCACATTGCACAGAATTCAGAAAACCCTGTACCTTGCTCAAACTGCTGGAGAAATCACAGAATCATGGAATGGTTTGGGTTGGAAGGGACCTGAAAGATCATCTAGATCCAACCCCCTGCATGGGCAGGGACACCTCCCACCAGCCCAGGCTGCTCCAAGCCCCATCCAACCTGCCCTTCA